ACAACACATGTTCTGTTATGAAAGTCAAGATTACAGCTCTATGTCCCTTCTCATAGGCTGGGCTGAACTCCTGGCCTCTAGTATACAAATATCTTCATAAACTCATTCCCTACGAACAGTGAATAATAATTTGCAGTAAGATCATCTAAATCCAGATCCAAGAAAAATAAAATTATGTCTTCTAAAGAATTTGCTAATATATTTGATTTATATTAGATTATTAGAAAATAAAACACATGATCTTAGTAAAACAATAATTGCACTGGAATTAAATTACTACTTAACACTTCAGCAAAAACTTTGCCTTATAGTGGCAAGACTGAAAGGGCTTATCAACAGGGCCTCCAGACTGTTTCCCAAAGATAAATTTCAGATTTCTCTCTCCCCATAACCAGAAGAATTAAATGGCTTAATATTCCAAAAATGATATTTTCTGGTTCCAAAAGAAAAATATGAAGTCCAGAACACTTCCACCCAGGAGGCACTACATTTAAAGAGAAAAAAAAAAAAAAGATGTATTCGAGGAAAAATTTTCTGACTTAGTGCCTGTTAACTTAGAACAAGGAACAACTGAGTTAATTTTATTTTCCTAAATTGGATAAAAATCTTTCATGTCTGTGAATGCAGTGGCTCAGAGCCTGCGCCTCTCAACCACCACTCTTGCTTAGAGGGTAACAGTGTGAGCAGTTTCGTTTTGGACCTCCACTGTGGTCAGTTCCTTCATCTCATTGGTGGATTCATGCATCACTGTTACTAAGGGACACACAGGGGCCTCAGAGTAAGATCCGAGGCAGCCCGAGTCTCATACCCTGCACTGTCTTCATCTAACAGGGTTGTATTTAGTTCCCCAGAAGGCATTTCAAGGTGCCAGTTGCACACAAGGATCACATCTCTAATATTTGATTATATTCACAGTAAAAACAAACAAACAAAAAAAAACCTTTTCATGTTCAGAAAGTTTCCTTTTTAAAGAAATTTTTTCACTGAAAATTACTGATGCTTGAGATAGCTTGAGAGGTGGGGGATGAGCATGCTTCTTCCTGTGTCTTCAGTGAATGCTTCCTCTGGGTCACTTTTACTTGAGCTTGACCTTGTTTGTTTGTTCTTACCACAAAAGCACATCTAAATGTTTTCCCCCAGGAAATTATCTTGCCTGTACATTAATATTTCCAGGATAGCATAAACACATGTGCTAAAATTCAGTCTTTGCCGTAACTTGACTTACATTTAAAAAATACAGACAAATAAATAAATAAATAGATAAAACATGCAATAGTTACGATTGCTTTAACCAAAATTTGTATTTATTAAATGGATTTATTTCTTTACTAACAGAAGGGAATTCTTCACTATTCATTTGATTAGATATATGAATTTTCAAAATAGATTTTGAAAATTTGGAAGCAAAGATATATAAATCTATAATGTAACTCTGGATGTGAAGAGCCGACACCTGACTTCTGTGTCCATTGCAGAATAACCCCATCATTTGAAGGACCTTGTGCTAACACTGCTCCAATGTTTCATAAATTCTAGAGCAGACACCAAGCACAGTTCTCTTCCTGCTAGGAGAATCTGGTAATTCAAATAATAATCCATTCTAGAGAGAATAATCTGAGGCATACAGCAAAAGCCATTTGGTTCCTTAATATTTTGTGCATTCTTTTTATAGTAAAGTACTGGTAAAAAGAAGACTAATTAAGCTTTTCAGTACAGGAGGTATTTCCTACCTTCTTGTCATGGGGATGAGACAGCATGGTGTTGTAAATGAATTCAGAAACAAATTTAAGAATCTCATGCCATTTGTACCAAATTCCTGGTACAAATGTATTTTTCACTGGAAGAGTTTGGTTTTAAACTTTGACTTTATTATGTTAAAAGAAAAAGTGAGGTGGCTAATTTGATAATGAGGAAATGACCATTTAACTGAAAATCATTTAATTGCAGACTATACTTCTAACACAAGAGTACTCTTAAGAGTATAGAGAATTAATCAACAGATTCAGAATTTTAGCACTATAATGGGTTCAGCCTCAGAAGAGAATATTTAGTACTTAAAGGAAACTGCTGCCTTTGTAATTTAGCAAATTATTAGGATTTCAACAAGGAAAAGCTAGTTAAATTATAGTATTAATCTCCTTTCAGGAACAAATCAGCCTTCACAGGATTGCCCCAGTTTCAGCAAGGGGGAAATGTTTAGAAAAATTATGATCATCAATTGTGTTTACAGCTGGGCTGGGATTTGTAAAAGTCAAGTCCCTGGAAATCCACATTAGAATGAGGCAGCCTGAACTTAAAGGGTTAAAAGTTATTGACTTCTTGTTGTTACCAGATTCTCAATACATACAACTGAGAATTCCATGAGACACAAACTTGTGTGCAAGCATCTTTGTTAATTCACTTCATGTTCATCTCTGAGCCCTCATTTGCCTGATGCCAAAAAATAGAAAGGAATGAAATGCGAATCTGAACATTTCTAGGCAAACCCAATCAAATTTAGCTTCTTCCCAGTCCCGTCAGGCTTCAAGCATGGCCACATTTATGTTCCTCACCTTCATCCTCTCGTGCCCATGCAATTGATTAAACTTGGGGGTCTTTCAGGTATATTCTCGCACAGAGGCTGGAGGTGTGGGGTCCGTTTCTCAGTGTGGAATCAGCTCTGTTCTATGCTGCCTCTTCAGGACACAGATGGATGTGGTGATTGGTGATTGGACCATCTCCAGTCCAGGGTCCTCTCGTGGCTCACACCTGCCCTCCATCCCTTTTGAGCTGCCCTGAGATGCAACCACCTCCTCTCCTTAATCCAGAGAGAGACCATCTGCTCCCAACATGTGCTCCACAGATGTGTCTCCTCCCTCCTGGCCAAGTAACCCCTCTGCAGCCCTGGGTCCTTTGCTCCTCCTCCTCAGCTAACCTACACACCCCACCCATTCAAGGCCACTCCCAGCAACTTACCTGTGCCACACTGGGGCTACAGGAGTCCTCCCAACCCTCTCCCGCCCAGCAAACCTTGTCACTGTTCTCTGTGGCCCCCCACTCTGGGATGGTACAGGAGACTTTGCTGAGTCTTGCTCTGCCACTGCTGTCATCCAAGAAGGGCAGCTAAGCTTCTGTCGACTTCTGTTCTCCCATCTCCAAGGGGGATTTCATCCTCAGCGCCCCTTATCGATAGAGGGGGTTTGTCCAGGAGGACTCCAGGGATCAGGTGGCAGCCCCCACAGTGCTGCCGCGTCTCTTGCTTCCTCTCCAAACTGCATCCTTTCTTTCCCCAGCATGGAGGCTCTGTAATGACGGTGGAGAGGGTAAATTGTTTTCTCCCTAATTCTCTTCCAAATATACTCCATCTTTTACCTGGATCTGTGCCTTCTAGCCTTAGACAGTACCTGTTTGCTGCTGCTTCGCTGTTCCATGCTGACAACACTTGGCTGGGTCAAATAATGGCCTGAGCCTCTCCCCAGCGGGAGGATGCAAAAGCTTTATCCCATCACCTGTCAGGAGAAGGGATCCTTTCCTGGCACAAGCGGGAAATTCTAATTAGACATGACTTCTTGTATTGGACCTACTCAATCTAGGCAAATTGGTCTCATTTACTGTGATAATATTGGAAATCTTCCATACACAAACAGACATACACATAACCAACCTTTCAAAATGAAAGCCATTTTCTGTGCCTCAATAATAAAAATATCAAATCTGTTGTCTGGTTATCCTTTCTCTCTTAGGGAGAACCCATCACTGCTCACCAGTTTCTTGTACCAAAAACATGTTTGGTCCTAAGTAGCCATTTTTTGTGCTGTTGCTCTCAAATCAATTTCCAGCAAAGCTGAAGGAGTCCCATTGTTTTCCAAAAACCAAATCATCTTTTCATCCAACATTGGGGGTATAGCTAGTAGCTGGACTTCTAAGAAGGACAAAGTTATGTCCATTTATTCTAGGCTCATTTCAGATATGGCCAGGTTCTCCTCTGCCTCTCTGGAAGGATGGAGAGAAAGTTGGCCATGCCTGGGAGACTGAGTGTGGAGGATTACAGGAGGCGGGTTGGGATGTTGGTGGAGGGAGTATAATGTCAGCAGCACATAAAAAAGGCAGATATGGAGTAATAGGCTTCGGAGTCAGGGGGGCAGGTGACTCCTGTAGACAGGTTATTGAATATCTTTGTGCCTAAATTTCCCTGGCTATAAAATAAAAATGCTGACCTCCCTGGAGTTTCATGAATTAGAAGAGGTCTCAAATATATAGGCCAGTTGCATGGGGCCTGCAAAGAAATGGTGCTGGGGAAGAGATAAACTCATTTTCCCCAGTTCATCTCTTCCCCATCAGGCTGAGGGCACATGCTTCGGCCTGCCTACGTTGCCAGGAATACCCCTGCCATCTCCCAGAAGGTCAAGAGTATCTCCCCAATGTGGCAAGCTATTATTGATGTTCCTTGTGCAGTATGTCAGTGTTGACCCCCCCCCACCCTGATTTGCATTCTCTTCCTTTTTCTAGCTTCTCTCCCTAGTTTTAGGGAAGATCCCAGGAGTAAGTGGGCTGCAAAAGCTCAGATTCCCAGGCTTTTCCAAGCTGGGGACTGGAGACCCAGCAGAGCGCAAGGGGTAGGGGAGGCAGTTATGTCCATGGAAGCATGTCCATTGAATGCATCGATGGAAGTTGGCATTGTACCAGGAGAAAGAGCTTCCTCCTTGCGAAGGGATGTCAGTTCCAGATTCCCGTATCCCAAGAAGCAATTTGCACACCTCAGTGTTTTGTCATGTCTGACTGACCATCCCCTTCTTTGCTCCCTGAGAGTGGAGCTGTCAAATAGTTCACTGCAACCAAGAGATGCTTTAGTGAGTTTTACCTGCTCCCCTACCCCCTCAAGGCTTCCCAGAGCTTGAGGCACAAAGCGGGGGTGAGAGAAAAGCATACAGTGTGAGTTGATGGTGATAAGAAACTATGTGAATGTGACTTCTAATGTAGGACAGGATGAAGTTGTTTTTTTGATTTCATATTTCATGCAGGGCTGGGCTGAGGATGTGGCAGGCATGGCATATGCCCTACGTTCACTGCCAGAGGGGGCTCCCTGCCTGCCACAGGTGAGAGCCAGCTCTGGGGTGCCTGCCCCCATGGGGGAAGGGGGGTGGAGGGGGCCTGCTGGGGGGACTGGGTGGGAAAGGACTGGTCCCCAGGAGGACCCTGCCACAGAATCCACAACCTCATTGTGTGAATGTAATTTTCTCAACTCAAAATGAAATTGCAACAGGTGAAACCCTTACATTTGTAGATTTTTCTACTGCACTCTCTTCTCCAGGACACTACAGGACAGTATACATCATACATGCAAATGTCTGAAAATCTGGGCCTGCGTTCCGTTAAGTGAATCTGAATGCTTCTTCATCCAGATATTACAAGGACATTTTAATATGATGCATTACCTGTGTTCCATTAAGGCTGATGACCAGCAACCTGAAACAAACTTTATGTCCTACTTTATAAATAAGACATTGAATTATGGCCCTGAACATTATACAGTTTGACCTTAGTGATTTTTTTAAAAAAAATTTTTACAATGTGCACTCTTGCTTTTCAGTGTCGTATTTACATTTATCTACCCTGCCTGTTTCTGAGGAGTCCACTCTTTATTGTTCAGCCAATGACTTACTGGCACGTTCAGAAACTCACCTCTGTGCCCTATCTCCAAATTCAAATCTCTTTTTAGAAATCACTCCCACACAACCCATTCTCATTTTCTACTTTTTCACAAGTTTTTTTTTTATATATATATTTCTCTTAATGTCACTGGCCCCATCAATCTGTCCCAAACCTCTGTATCTTGAAGCATCAAGTATCTGCATCACGCAGATGACTCTCAACTTCAAGTACCGAAAACACTGTCACAAAGGAAACCTAATGCGGTTCACTGATTAACCCTGAAATCTTGGTCCTGTGCTGAAGGCAAAAAATGCAGTTAAAAAGTTTAAATGCACGCCTAACATATTCAACCCATTCTGCACCTAGGTCTTGGTAACGCAACCTTTTTGGCTCCTGTAAGCAGCCGTCTGAAAACACAAATGTACTATTTGCATGTAGGGTTTTCTTCCTGCTTCTGACGCCCTTCACCTTCCCTGTTTTTGCAGTGGTCAGTTTATATCCGAGCCGCTGTCCGGAAAGAGAAAGGCCTGCCCATCCTCGTGGAGCTGCTCCGGATAGACAATGACCGCGTGGTGTGCGCGGTGGCCACGGCACTGCGGAACATGGCCTTGGACGTGAGAAATAAGGAGCTCATTGGTACGTTCTCTCTGAGTCACAGCGTCGCAGCTGTTACTGGAAAATATTTTCTCTCGGGGTAGGTGTGGTGGAACCCATAAGCACAGCATAGGCTCATGCAGAAGCCGTGCATTTATCAGCAGCCTCGTGTTTTCTGCTGTCCTTCTAGTTTAAATCCAGTGCACTGATTTACCTTTTAGAATTTAGAGGAAAATGCGATGCTTGTTGACGTTTCTTTTTTTCTTTTTTTTTTTTTTGCGGCAGAGTCAGGCCTCAAACCACATCTGTCTGACTCTAAGCCCATCCCCTGTCCTTTGCTCTAGCTGGTTAAGAGTGAGGGGTTCTGAGTCAGGGTTCTTGGCTCTGCCATTTCCTGACTCAGTGGCTTTGGGCAGGTTGCTGAACCTTACTGTACCTGACTTTCAACATGTGTCAAATGCGGCCACAAAGATCTCCACCTTGTTTGCTTGTAGAGGGGATTAAAGAATTCAAAAATGAACTAATATATGTAAAATACTTACTGCTTGACCCATGCTATGCGCTCAATAAATGTTAGCTGGTATTATTACCATTACCATGTTTATTATCACTGTTATTACTGAGGAATCCTCAACAATACTGGTTGAAACTTATCATTTGACAAAGTCAGTAAAATTAGGCCCAGAGATGGGAGATTTCTTTCTTAGAAGGGCACGAAACCAGGTAATTTTTTTTTCCTAAAAAAAAAAAAAAAAAAAAAAGAAGAAAGAAAGAAAGAAAAGAATGAAGGAGAGGAAGAAAGAGGAAGAGGAAGAGGGGGAGAGAACGGGGGTGTTGCTTTATTGCCCGGGCTAGAATGCAGTCTAAAAATGGGTATGCCTGCAATTGTGCTTAATAATAAGAGACATGAAAAAAAAATGAGGGAAGAAAATAACAAACAAGCAGCCAACCAATATTTCATTGAAACCTGTAAAATAGATGTGATGTGGTACTGATAAGAGTGTATATTTTGTGTATTTAAAGTGGAGAGTTCTATAAATGTTAATTAAGTTTACTTGTTCCGGATCTGAGTTCAAATCCTGGATATCGTTGTTAACTTTCTGTCTCATTGATCGGTCTAATATTGATGTTGAAGTCTCCCAGTATTATTGTGTGGAAGACTAAGTCTCTTTATAAGTCATATATATATGGGTATTCCTGTATTGGGTGCGTATATATTTAGGATCTTAGCTCTTCTTGTTGCATTGATCCTTTTATCATTATGTAATATCCTTCTTTGCTTCTTTTGATCTTTGTTGCTTTAAAGCAACTCCTGCTTTTTATTTATTTATTTATTTTTGCTGTCCATTTGGTTGGTAAATCTTTCTCCATCCCTTTGTTTTGAGTCTTTGTGTATTCTTGCATGTGAGTTGGGTCTGGATGCAGCATACCGATGGGTTTTGGCTTTTTTTTTGCCCGTCTGTGTCTTTGGATTGGGGGATTTAGTAGTTTTAAATTTAGAATTAATAATAATATATGTGAGTTTAATACTGCCATTTAATGTTAGCTGGCTGTTTTGCCTATTAGTTGATGTAAATTCTTGATTATATTGATGCTCCTTACTTTTTGGTATTTTTTAGAAAGGCTGATACTGGTTGTTCCTTTCTATGTGTAGTGGTTCTTTCAGAAGCTCTTGTAAAGCAGGCCTGGTGGTGATGAAATCTCTGAGTGCTTGCTCGTTCACAAAAGATTTTATTTTTTCTTCGCTTATGAAGCTTAGATTGGCTGGATGTAAAATTCTGGGTTGAAAGTTCTTTTCTTTAAGGATGTTGAATATTGTCCCCCACTCTCTTCTAGCTTGTAGGGTTTCTGCCGAGAGATCTGCTGTGAGTCTGATGGGCTTCCCTTTGTGGGTAACCTGACCTTTCTCTCTGGCCGCCCTCAGTATTTTCTCCTTCATTTCAACCCCGGTGAATCTGGCAATTATGTGCCTTGAGGTTGGTCTTCTTGAGGAATATCTTTGTGGTGCTCTCCGTATCACCTGGAGTTGAATATTGTCCTGCCTTGCTAGGTTGGGAAAGTTTTCCTGAATAATATCCTGAAGCGTATTTTCCAGCTTGGATTGATTCTCTTCATCACATTCAGGTACACCTATCAAGCCTAGATTAGGTCTTTTCACATAGTCCCATATTTCTTGGAGACTTTGCTCATTCCTTTTTATCCTTTTTTCTCTAATCTTGTCTTCTCGTTTTATTTCATTAAGCTGGTCTTCGACCTCTGATATCTTTTCTTCTGCTTGATCGATTCGGCTGTTAAAACTTGTGCATAGTTCACAAAGTTCTCATGTTTTTCAGCTCCATTAATTCACTTATATTCCTCTCTAAATTGTGTATTCTTGTTAACATTTCGTCAAACCTTTTTTCAGAGTTCTTAGTTTCTTTGCATTGGGTTAGAACAAGTTCTTTTAATTCACAGAAGCTTCTTTTTATCCACCTTTTGAAGGCTGCTTCTGTTAATGGAACACACTCGTTCTCCATCAGGCCTTGTTCAGTTGCTGATGAGGAACTGTGATCCCCTGTAGAGGGAGAGGCGTTCTGATTTTGGGTATTCTCAGCCTTTTTAGGCTGTTTTCTTCCCTTCTTTATAGATTTATCCATCTGTGGTCTTTATAATTACTGTCTTTATAATTGGGTTTCTGAGTGGACGTCCAACTTGTTGATTCCCAGTGCTAAAATCTGAGCAACCCACTGCGCCAGCCAAAACAGCAGTGTTATGATTGTCAGTGCTTTTCTGACTCTGCACCAAGAACTGCCACACCAAGACAGCGGCAAAACCACCTCGCCGGCTGCAAGAGTCACGCTGGTGACCCATGGGGCTCCTCCACTGGGAATTTCCTGGTGCGTGAGCAACAAAAATTTGTCTGAAAGTGTGGCGTCCTCTCATTCTCTGTGCTTTCACTGGGAGCTACAATCCTGAGCTACTAGTGATCAGCCATCTTGGATCTCTCCGCTTGTTGACATTTCTAATCCTTGCAAATTGAAAAGGACCTCAATGCTCAGCACTTGATACCATTGTCCCAATCCTCTGAATCTCTGGCAGTCTGTTTGTTTGTTTCCCATGCGGTGAACAGAGGAATTCTGATGGATATACATGACTTTTCTTCTCTTCTCTATTTTAAGTTTATTTTGCATAAGACCATACTAACCCTATAATCCTATTCTTTTAAGAAATCATTTCTCTTTAATTTGCTGTTCAAGAAATACAGAGATTTCTTTATTGACAAGGCATGGAAGAGGTAATACATTCGTCTATCTATTCAACAAGACTTATGGCCTGCTTTGTGCCAGGCCTGTTGGCCCAGAGATTAGATCAATAAGCAAAACAGACAGGAAGCCCTGTCTTTGTGGAGTTTACATTCAAGAGAAGGAGATGTTCAGTCAGCAAACTAAACAAATGAATCACAAAATAGAACTGAGTAAAGGGTGATCAGTGAGATTGCAAATTTCATTTTAATTGAGACGATATCACATAACATACAATTGACCCCTTTAAAGTCTACCATTTTAGTGGCATTTAGTATATTCATAATATTGTACAATCACCTGTGTCAAGCTTCAAAACATTTTCATCACACCAAAGGCAAACCATGTGTCCATTCGCAGTCACTTTCCAACACCATCCCCAGCCCCTGGCAGCCACCACTCTGCTCTCTGTGGATCTTCCTATTCTGGGTATTTTGTACAAATGGAATCGTAGAACATATGACTTTTGTGTCTGACTTTTTTCACTTAGCATGAGGATTGTATTTCTTTAATGGTAAACTAGTAAGTTATAATTATATATATTCATGGGCCACAAAGTGATGTTGTGGTATACAGGTTGAGGGTCCCTGTTCCAAAAGTCCAAAATCTGAAATGCTGCAGAATTTGAAATTTTTTGAGGGTCCACATGATGCTCCCTCCAATATGCATTTCCAATTTTGAATTTTTAGATTAGGGATGTTCCACCAGTATTCTTAACTGGTATGTATTCTGCAAATATTCCCAAATCCAAAAAAAAAAATCTAAAATTTGAAACACTTCTGGTCCTAAGCATTTTGAGTAAGGGATCCTCAACCTGAGTGTATACAATGTAAACTGATTCAATCAGGCTGATTAACATATTCAGCTCCTCAAATAAGTACCTTTTCTTTGGTGAGAACATTTGAAAATTTACTCTTAGCAATTTTGAAATATAAAATACATTATTATTAACATAGTCACCTTGATGCACAATAAATCTCAAAAAACTTATTCCTCCTAAGTGAAACTTTGCACCCTTCGACCAGTATCTCCTTATTCCTCTTACCCTTCAGTCTCTCATAACCACCATTCTACCCTCTGCTTCTACAAAGTCTTTTTTTTCTTGAGGTAAGGAGGGATGGAGTCTCACTCTGTCACCCAGGCTGGAGTGCAGTGGTGCGATCTCAGCTCACTACAACCTCTGCCTCCCGAGTAGCTGTGATTACAAGCACCTACCACCACACCTGGCTAAATTTTGTATTTTTAGTAGAGACAGTTTCACCATCTTGGCCAGGCTGGTCTTTAACTCCTGTCCTCATTATCCACCCACCTCAGCCTCCCAAATTGCTGAGATGTGGTCTCACTCTGTTTCCCAAGCTGGAGTTCAGTGGTGTGATCTTGGCTTACTGCAACCTCTGCCTCCCAGGTTCAGACAATTCTCCTGCCTCAGCCTCTCGAATAGCTGGGACTACAGGCAAGTGCCACCATGCCCAGCTAATTTATGCATTTATTTAGTGGAGGCCCGGTCTCACCATGTTGGCCAGGTTGGTCTCAAACTCTGGCCTCAGGTAATCCACCCACCTCAGCCTCCCAAAGTGCTGGGATTACAGTTGTGAGCCGCCGGCCCCCAGCCTATGCTTCTTTAAATTCATTTGTTTTAGATTCTAAATTTAAGTGAGACCATGTGGTATGTGTACAAATGTAACTGGCTCATTTCACTTAGCATAATGTCCTCCAGGTTCATCCATGTTGTTGTAAAGGACAGCATTCCCTTCCTTTTTATGGCTCAGTAGTATTCCATTGTGTATATATGCCATATTTTACTTATTCATTTATCTATTGATGGACACTTAGGTTGCTTCTATACCTCGGCTATTATGAATAACGCTCCAATGAACATAAGAGCTATAAATAGTTCTGTGACATACTGATTTTAGATTCTCTGGATATATACCCAGAAGTGGGATTACTGGATCATACAGTAATTCTGTATTTAGCTTTTACATATTGGAAACTATATATTGTTTTTCTAATCAGTACCTTAATGGCTGTGCTAATTTACATTCCTGCTAATAATGCACAAGGGTTTCTTTCTGTCTGCATTCTCACTGACACTTGTTATCTTTTATATTTTTGATCATAGCCGTTCTGACAGGTGTGAGGTGATAGCTTATTGTGGCTTTAACTTGCATTGCTTTAGTGATTAGTGATATTGAACCTTTCTTCATACTGGACATCTGTGTTTCTTCTTTTGAGTAATGTCTGTTCATATCCTTTGCCCATTTTTTAATCAGGTTATTTGTTTTCTTGCTATTGAATTGCTTGAATTCTTTATGTATTTTTGATATTAACCCATAATTATATTTTTGATTACAAATAATATTTTCTCCCAATCTGTAGGTTGTGCCTTCATTCAGTTATTTTTTTTCTGTGCAGAAGCTTTTGAGTTTGATGTGATCCCATTTGTCTATTTTTTTATTTTGTTGCTTGAGCTTTTGGAGTCAAATCCAAAAAATCATTTCCCAGGCAGTGTCGTATAGCTTTCCCCCTATGTTTTCTTCTAGGATTTTTATAGTTTAGGTCTTATTTTAAAGTCTTAAAATCCATTTTTAGTTGATTTTTGTATATTATATGAGATCAGGGTCCACTTTCATTCTTCCATATGTGGATATCCAGTTTAGGGTTGTGATTTTCAGTGGGAGGTCAAGATAAGGGTGATTGGGAATGTAACACTGGAGACTTAAAGGGGGTGCGACAGGAAGCAATGGAGGGATCTGGGGGGAAAGAATCCCAAGTTAAAGGGGCAGCCTCTGCACACAGCCCCTAGAGAGGGAACTGAGAGCAGACCAGTGGGCTTTAGGCCTTCTAGGGACCTCGTGTACCTGGCAGGGTGAGTGCTGGGAGCCAAGATTGGAGAGGCCTTTTGGTGCCTCCCTCTGTAGGTGGGTTGGTGCCAAGGCCAAGATGGATTGATGCCCTGGAGAAAGATGAATCTACTGGGCCCTCTCAGAGGAGGACACAGTCTCCACAGGCCATTGTTCTGATTGGTAGGCATCTGGTGTTGAGGATATGATTTCTGTAGTGTCATTAGTCCCATTACAGCATGAGATCTGGCAGCCCAAATGCAGAGAACGGGTGTCAGTGGGCAGCAGAAGGGAACTGGACCACCACTGTGGCAAGGGTACAGGTGATCTGGGGAACTGGGAGAAATTAGGGTACAATAGGCAAAGAGCCCAAAATTCATTCCTGGGGCAACTGGAAGTTGAGGTGTGGCTCCAAATTTCAGACACAAATTTTTCATAGATACATGATTGTTTTTCCCCTATCCAGATTACAGAGGTCCTGTAAAAGGCTCTGGGAAGCAGCCACTTTTCCTCCTGCCGATTCACAATCCCTGTCATATCCTCCAAGAAAAGCCGTAATATTTTCAGGTCTGCAGCCATTTGTTTATTCACTGCAAGACCAGACTGCAAATCCGTGTCTAATAAATGCAATTATTTGCCATACATATACAACAGGAAATAAGCTTGCTACTTGCTGTTTATACTTAGTTGGAGTTTAAATTTAAATGTTATCTGTGGATTTTGTAGACTTGGTATATCTAAAGTAGGTCGTTAGCTTACAAAGTCAAGGTACTCTTTCCATATACTCTTTTATTTTTGTTGTTGCTTCACAGTTGTTTCAGACAGGACAGCACTGGCATTTCCAATAAAATTTATCCCTTCTATTTAAAAAATGGAGAAAAAAATCAATAGCTAATCAGTCTACTGCCTAGATGCTAACTACTTGGTATTGTGTGTTTGTGTGGGTTTTCTTTCTTTTGGTGGATTAAAATATAACAAAACAGTGAACTATTGATTGGTTTGCCAGCTCCTAGGCATCCCTTCTTTCTCAAAAGCCAGTTACCTAGTCCTCTTTCTGAGACAGGAACATTTAGATCACTATACTGCCCGTGTTCAGCTAAACCTTTACTATCAAATGTCACCGGACAGGAAACAGAGCCAGTCATTTAAAAGTAGAGGGGAAAATATCTAAGTCACAGGCTTTATGAAATCAGTAAGTTTTTTCTTGACTGAAAAGAGCAGAATTTAACAAAAACAATACTGGATTCTATGTAAGAGAGAGGAATGCAACCTTTGCTAACTCTTTAACTTTAAATATTGTATCCAGTGGTTTTTGTAAGAAAATGCTATACAGAACTTTATACACAGAAGAAAGCTGCAGTGACTTTGAATGAAGAACAACAACAAAAGGTTCATCTTGGACCTCTTCTCCTCTCTATCACCTCTCACCGAAAGCTAGGGTGACATCATATGGTTTCATGGCATTGAAGATCATCTGTATTCTGGTCACTCCAAACAGATTATCCCCAGCATGAACCCCAGATCCTGTGTCCAACTGTCTGCCCATCCTCTCCACTGAATCTCGTAAGAGTGTCTCAGATATAAGATGTCCACAACCAGGGTCTCTCCCAGACCTGACCCTTCCACAATCTTCCCCCAGAAAATGGCCAGTTATTCTTGCAGGGACCCAGGACAGACACCTTGGCATCCTCATTGACTCATATCCAATCCACCTCATACCCAATCCATCAACACATCTGGTCTTCCTTCTGA